TGGGCCGCCTCCAAAGTGCGGGCGGGGGCGGAGCTGGCAGGACGGGCTTATTTGCATTTGGGGCTGGACAGGTGGGCGGAGCCTTCGGCAGCGGGTGCCTTATTTGCATACGAGGAGGGGCGACGTTGTTTTGACGCGCCTAAGTAACGGAGTGGGGCAGGGTGACGGTTCCTTAACCGAATGCGAGGGGCAGGCGCCAACGGTTCCGGGCACCGATGGTTCCGGGCGCCGACGGCTCCACGCTTATTTCGCATTCAACGAAGGCCCCGCATTGCGACTTTCTTCCGTACGACCAGCACTGCACATGATCTGTAGCGAGTGGAGGTTTGGCTCAGTCAAAACCACCGGGCCGGCCCGAGGCAACCTCCGCCGGGATGCTTCCGGTAGCCACGCGGGACGCGAGGAAGCCTTGGCAGGACCTGCGCTGCCGCAAGCACCAGAAGTTCCAGCAACTTCGGCCGCTTCCGCTCCTCCCGGCCCTGCAATAGGATAGGGAGCGGGGCGGCCCCGGAAGTGACGCAGCGGAGTGCCTGTCTCCTTCCGGTTCCGGCCAGCGAAAGAGTGTTGCGGCGACATGAAGCTGCTTACCCACAATTTGCTGAGCTCGCACGTGCGAGGGGTGGGACCCCGTGGATTCCCGCTGCGTCTCGAGGTACCGCACTGGGGACGCTCGGGCGCCGGTCTCCCGGGAGGGATAGGGGAACCAGGCTCGGATCCCTGCCCAACCGAACCCCTCCGCCCTGCAGGCTACCGAGGTCCGCGTCATCCCGGTGGAGTTCAACCCGGACTTCGTGGCTCGGATGATACCCAAAGTGGAGTGGGCGGCGCTTTTGGAGGCGGCCGATCACGTGAGGGCCATCCCCCAGCCCTTTGCCGCTGGCCAGGGTTGGGGATGCCCAGAGATAATTTAGGCCTCTTGCCCACAGTTGCATCTGGCCGAGGTGCCCAAAGGGCCGACTCAGGGGTATGAGCAAGATGAGACGTTTCTGAGGAAGATGCACCACGTGCTGCTGGAGGTGAGGCTCGGCTGTCACTTGCTTCCTGGCTGCACAGCCATAACCCGGAGGCTGCCAGTGCTCAGCTCTTCCCCGCTTCCCCGCAGGTGGAGGTGGTGGAGGGCACCCTGCAGTGCCCAGAGTCTGGACGTGTGTTCCCCATCACCCGCGGAATCCCCAACATGCTGCTGAATGAGGAGGAAACCGAGACTTAATCGAGCCAGGCATTCGTTTTTCATACTGTGACCATGTGTGTTTTTATGTATATCCTGTTGGTTAGTTTTGTCACGTGTATTCCCAGCTCTTGACCCAGTGACACGCCACACAGTGTTCTTGAGCTCGATATATATTTTTTTCTCATTAAAGGTTCAAAACCAAAAGCGGTTTCTCTTTGCAACAAATATACATTAAAATAGAGTCTCTGTACAGCCGAGGGCTCTGGGCCCTGGCTTGCCCCATGTCCCTGCGCCTCCCTGGCCTAACCCAAAAATAAATATAGTGTTATTGCTCTGCAGGGCATAGAGGCAGTGCTCTCCCTACCTCCTGAGGAGCCTGGGTGGGAGCTGATGGGGGACCCTGGCCACCCCAGGGGTCCAGGGGCTGGAGCCTGCTTGGAGTTATTGCTTCAAGGGGTGGGGGGGCAGAATGCCCAATGCAAATGATGAGAGGAGCCAAGGGGGCAGGGGCCTTTGCTCTCCAAATTTCCCTCTGCTCTGGAGAGGGGGTCGGATTAAGCAGCAGCAAAAGCATCACCCATTGGGAGACTGTGGCCTCCACTCCCTTCCCTCCCTGAGATCAGGCTTCTGCCCCCCTCCCCCACACATCCCCTGTAGCCCCCTATGGCTTCCACAGCACCCCCTACACTCTGGGGGCACCTTATGGCTTGCAAGGGGCAGCACTGTGCCCAGAGCCTGGGCACACGTGTTCCCAGCTTCTAACACCCCCGAAGAAGGGGGAGGGGAGGGCGTGGGCCTGCTCCCAGGGACTGATGGTATTGCCTTGGCCCTGCCAGCAGGCTGTGGCACTATCGACCCCAGCTCTGCCCCCTTGGGGCTGACCCCATGCTGGGCGGGTCCTGCCAGCACCCCCACCCATGCCCACCCCTTGCCTCAGTCCATCATGGCCTCGAGCATCTCCAAGAACAACTTGTGCATGGGCACCTTGCCCTCCAGCTTCACCCCATAGAAATGGGCCAGCACTTTGCCCGCTGTCTGGCGGAGGAGTGGTAGTGTAAGCAGCAGCCTGCCTGCCCGCCGCCTCTCAGCACCCCCTCCGGGGCCTGCCCGGCCTGCTTCATACTCCAGCAGGGCCTCATGGAGGGCTTCTCGCAGCTGCTCCACAGCCTCAGCATCTTCAATGTGCACAGAGTCTGCAAGGAGTGGGAGAGAGCTGTTGACATGGACCATCTCCAGGAAGGAGAGAGCCCGCCTCTGCTTGGGCACTGAGGGATGGAGCCTACACAGGAGCCAGACACAGATTTGTTGATTGACTGACTTGCTGCTCGTGCCCGTGAGCCAGGGCCCACCCTTCCTCAACTAGGGTGCCCTCTTGTCCCCCCTACTCCCCTCCCACTCAGTGGTTCACCTTTCCAGTAAGTATGGCACTAGGGTTCAAAGTCCTAGGTGCAGTCCCTGGGCCTGCGCTTGCCTTGCTTAGTGGCTTTCAGCAAGTCACTGTTCTTTCCTATGCCTATTTCCTTGTCTGAAAAATGGGACTGTGTCACCATTAGAGTAATGAAGGGCCTTCTGGAGACTTGTCAGGACCTACCCAGACTCACCTGAGTTGGCAAGGGCCAGGGCCTTCAGCAGGACATACTCCTCCCGCTCCAGCCGCAGGGCCTGCAATCGCCGCACGAGCTGCAGCAGGGCAGCCCCGAGTTCCCCCAGGCCAGCTGCTCGTGCCCCCTCTTCATCCAGGACCAGGTCCTCAGCGAAGGCCAGCTCATCCTGCAGCGGCAGTGAGCGCTGGGCCACACCCAGCACCAGTACCTCCATCCATACGCTCTGCAGTACTGACATCTGGTCCGACAGTGACAGTGACGAGAAGCCTGGAGGACCATGGGGAGCACACCTGGCTGAGCAGGTGCACCAGAGCCAGGCCTGGCCTGCCCCAGGGAGCCCGCATCCCCTGGCCCTTTACCTGGGATGCTCTTGGCCCAGCTGATGGTGACCACAATCTCTCGGTCAAAGAGGTCACAGAGGGTAGCTACAGCTGGGAGGTGTCCGTCAGGGCCCGCTGGGTCAGGCATGGCATACAGCTTCTCAGGCTCTACCACCAGCAGGTGGGACACCAGTGCATTCACTGGGGCTGCAGTGACAGTTGGAAGAGGCACTGGAATTCATCACTTTGCAGGCCCTTTGGAGTCAAACATCTCCCAGAGTCAGTCCCCCCGTGGCTTTCCTCCGCAGCCACTGGCCATCAGGCTCAGACACCTTTCTCCAGGAAGGGCTCTGCCTAACTCCCAGGGCAGTCAGTCTGTTGTGAACAGGTTCCGAGTGTTAGGAAACCTTTCCCTGTTCCCAGCTGTACTACTCAGGACTGACAGAAAAAGGTCTTTTTGGGGAAAATGGGTAAGTGAATAGATGAAGGGAAAAGTGGGATCCCAGTGCCCAAAATAACTGCTATCCTCAGTGAACGACACCAGATAGGCCTCTCGCGTCCTAGCCCAATCCCGACCCTAGAGCTCCAAGAACCCACAGACGCTCACCTGTCTTCCGAGGGCCTCCAGCTACTGCCAGGGGTCCGGCAGGGAAGGGGCCTGGGAAGGGCAGTGGATCCACCTCTGGTCGCCGCTTGTACTTCTGGCGCCCACCCCGGACACGGTCCAGACGTACCCCTTGAATTGTAGGACAGGGCTGTGTCCTAGAGGCTGGGGGTGGCTTGCTCTACAGAGCCCTCCTGCCCAATCCATTCCACCAGAACGTCTCAGGCTTTGCCCTCTCCAGCCCCATGCGCCCAGCTCCCCCAACCCTTGCCACAGCTCCTTCCCCTTCCCCGTACTCACCTTCTTTGAGCATGCCCACCCGCAGGCACTTGGTGAAGCGACAGGCCTGGCAGGCCTTGCGTCTCCGCTTGGTGATCTCACACTCATTGGAAGCCGGACAGCTGTACTCGATGCTCCCTGCCAGGAAGAGGCAGGGCTCCAGTGGCGGCCTCCCAGGGCCTGGAGGAGGCCCAGCAGACAGGAGAGCCCTGACTCCCCGGGCAAGCACAGGTCTGGGGAGAGCAGGAGTGCCGTGAGTGGGGCAGGGAAGCCCGGGGCAGTGAGGAGAATGGCTGCTGGGCTGGGGGCCCCTGTCTGGGCAAAAGAAGGGCTGGGACCAGGGGAGTCAGGCTGCATCTGCCCCAAGCCTCTTGTCAAGCCACATCTCTGGGCTCTCCTGCCCTCATCTGCTCTCTTCAAGGGTTACAGTGGCCTCTCCATTGCTGCCTCTAATGGGCAATTCTCATCTTCATCTTCCATGGCCTAAAGGAGGGTGCTGGAAGCCAATGGTCAGAAGGCTGAATAGGGCTTTGCTATTCAGAAGGCTGAATATCTGCATGTTATTACCTGCTGCTGACTTAATGGCCGAAGGCAACCCCCCTAACCTGATCATCTTTCACTGTTTACTAAACATTACCTTTGATATGCCTGTTTGCATTCCTAAAAGGCAATTGTGTATTCTAGTCAATGAAAAGGGGATGGGTGCGGAGATTCAGTGGAGCTTGGTCACTTGAACTAAGTTCACATCTGGCTTCCCCCATAATTTCCAAATTTATATTTCTTGTCTTGTGTATTAGTTTGCGCGTCAGCCCTTTCTCCAGGCCTCTGAACCCAGGCCACGCGGGCCGTGGCATCACACCTAGGAACTCTGAAACACTTCTCTTCTTTTGCTTTTAGGACACACTCCTGGCTTTCATCCCACCTCACTGGCCACTTTGTGGTCTCTGTGCATCTCCCTGTGCTCCTTCCATTGAAGAACCTCAGGGCTGCCCTCGGACCTCATCTCCACTGACTCATTCCCATGCTGATCGTACCTAAGTTGTAGGCTTTCAAATTTCTATCTCCTGTCTAGACCTGCCTAAACTCTAGACCAGCCGTGGGCAAACTACGGCCCGCGGGCCGTAGTTTGCTCACGGCTGGTCTAGAAGGCCACACAAACCTAACCTGTTCTAAAGGGAGCCCATGATGTACCCCTCCAAAACCTGCAATTCCATCCATCAGCTGTTCACGCAGACACCTGGGAGACATCTCTCATTCTGTCTCCCACCCCAAATCCAACCCATCAACTGATCCTGGTGGGCTTTACCTCCCAATATGGCCTCCTGCTCTGCCCTTGCCTGTTTTAGTTACTCTCGACAGGACAGCCAGAGGCATCTTATCAAACCTATGTTAGATCCTGTCCCTCCCCTGCTCAAAACCCTCCAGAGATTTCCCTTCTCAGAGTAAAAGCCCAGTGAACCCTGCGACCTCAGGCCTGCACCCCTGCTCCTCACCCCTCTGACCTCTTCCTCCTCGCACTCTGTTCTGGCTCCAGGCCCCTAACTCAGGGTCCACAGCTCCCTTTCTCCTTCCCTGGCCACCCTGCGAGGGTGAGGAGGGTGCCACGCGGCCCCTCTGTGGACATCTCTGGTGCTCGCCGCTACTGGGTAGTTTCTCATCAGCTCTCCACACCATCGAATATGCTGCCGTGTACATATTTATCTTCTTTATCATCTGTCTCCTGGCTTTAGTGTGAGCTCCATGGGGGCCAGGACTGTCCCCGTGAAAGGAAAGGCCTGGCACTTAGTGGGCACTCATAACTGGTGCATGACAGCCACCCTCCCAACCTCGCAGGACTACTTCAAGGGCTGAATGACACAACCAGCCAATATGCCCTTAGCATGTTTCTCCTACACCCTACCCAGGCTTCCACTCTCAGCTCAAGACACCTCCTCAGGGAAGCCCTCCAGGGCTCCAGACCCTGTCAGGTTCTTTTTTTTTTTTTTAATGTTTTTTCATCTTTTTAAAAAATATATATTTTTTTTAATTTCAGAGAGGAAGGGAGAGGGAGAGTGAGACAAAAACACCAATGATGAGAGAGAATCATGGACCGGCTGCCTCCTGCACGCCCCATACTGGGGATCGAGCCCACAACCCGGGCATGTGCCCTGACTGGGAATCGAACCATGACCTCCTGGTTCATAGGTCAACACTCAACCACTGAGCCACGCCGGCCGGGCCCCAGCCAGGTTCCTTGGTACACGCCCTGCTCCTAGCTCTTCAGCACTCACACAGCTGTACTATAACAACTGTGTGCAATTCACTGTTTCCTCTCCCCTCTGCTAGAATATGAAGTGTTTGAGGACCCGCAGTCCTGCCTACGTCCCCATATCTGGAACAGTGACCAGGGCAGCAAAGCACAGGTTTGTCAAGGCTCTGGCAGCTGCCTGGTGCCTATCCTGATACTTGCATATACCAACTGTGTGACCTTGAACAAGCCCTCAAAGCCTCAGTTTTCTCATCTGTAAAACTGGGGTGATAGAAACAGTACTTCTTATAAAGGTGAGTTGTGAGAATTCAAGGGGGGTAACTGAAGTACCACATTTAGCATGGTTCCTAATGCCTAAATATCAATAAGTGATTATTATTTATGGCTAGGTCTCAATAAATATTTATCAACTGATTCAGCAGAGAATGAAGGGTCCCAGGGTGGGCAGGAGACACCTGGATCTGAACCTGTTGGCTCCCTGGGCATCAGAGACAAAGGGAGCACAGAGGTTTTAGACCCATGAGTGTTGGCAACGGCAAAGTCAAAATGGCTTGTATGTCACAATCATTCGTGAGGCACCTGTCCAAAGTTCAGTTATTAGTAATAAGCAGAGGCAGCAGTCTGGCTTTTAAGAGCTCGACCCTGGACCTGAACTGACCCAGGTTCAAATCCTAGTTCTGCCATTTTCTACCTTTAGGACTTGGACAAAGTTTTAAAAACCTCACTGGGCCTCAGTTACAATATTGCTGGCACCTTGTAGGTTGCCGCGGGGGTAACAGGTCATGAATGTACTCTAGAAATGTCCTCAAAAAACTATACATGTTATAGCCCCAAAGCAACCAGAGGTTTACATAAAAATATAAGTAACAGGCACAGCTCAAGTACTGCTTATTACCTCACCCCCTTGCTCACTCATATTTTCATACGCTTTCCTGAGTGAGAGAAACCCCCTGAGGACTATTAGCAGGATGCCTAATAGTCTTTTTAAAGTTAGGTTCTTGCCCTAACCGGTTTGGCTCAGTGGATAGAGTGTCGGCCTGCGGACTGAAAGGTCCCAGGTTCGATTCTGGTCAAGGGCTCTCATCATTGATGTTTCTATCTCTCTCTCCTTCTCCCTTCCTCTCTGAAAATCAATAAAATATATATATATATTTTTTAAAAAGATGATAAAGTTAGGTTCTGAAATAGGATGTAGCCCCTCTCAGCTATAAAAACCTGTGCTGATGCTGTTTTGGGGTGGGGAGTGGGGGTATTCTATGCTAGTGAGAAGCCAGTAGCTGCCAGAAGCAGGAACAAAGTTTAGGAGCAGGCAGAGGCTATCTCGAGTTTTTCAGAGCCACTGTGGACGGTGCTGGGCCTGTCACACCCAGAAACGAAGCGTAGGAGACATCCCACATCCAATCTTTCAACACATCCTGGTGGCTCTATATAACTTTTAAGGGGAAGCGCATTCATTGGAGGTAAGAGGGCTGGGAGTACCAGGCTGCCAACCCCGAGTGGTAGTCTGGGGGTCTAGTGCCCCTCAGCAGAGCACCAATTGGGTAGTGCCAGGCCCAGAGGGCAAAGGGCACAGAAGTGGGGATAGGGGCTCACCCTGGATGGTCCTCTTGAAGAAGGCTTTGCAGGCCTCACAGGACGCCACACCATAGTGGTAGCCCGAGGCCACATCTCCACAGACCAGGCACAGGCGTTTAGGCAGGGAGCTGAGCACCAGCTTCCCACCACCCTGCTCACCAGGCCCAGCCCCCTCCCCATCCTCCTCTTCCTTGTGGCCTGGAAGGTGGCGAGCGGGAGCTGGGCCAGGGGCCAGGGCTACAGGGGGCTCGGTCTCAGTCTCCGAGGAACCCTTTGGGCTGTCTGGGCTGGCCGGTTCTGCCTTGATGTAGAGAGGCTCAATGCCCACCACCTGGCTGGACATGGCGCTGGTCACCTGTGGGGAGAAACCTGTCAGGTCACAGGGAGGTGCTGGGATGGGGGATGGAGAGACACCCTGCCACCCTGGTTGCCCAACCCCAGGCCTGGGGCCAGGCTTCCAGTATCAGTGAGGGGGAAGGAGGAGGTACAGAGTCCAAGGAAGGGCTGCCCATGAAAAGGCCCCCCTCCCCCTCCCCCAGTTGTTGCCATGGGAATAGAGTCTCCAGAGCCTCCAGGGCCAGTAACTGACAGCAAGTCAGTCCCATTTAGGAACCTGCAGGAGACTTAGAAACCCCCTACTCCTACCCAGGCCAGGGGGCAGGGTAACCTTGGCCCCAGACGACCTTCAACTCCATCTGGAATCCTCAACTAGAAATGGGATACCCTCTCCATTTTCTCCTGACAGGGACCTCGCTCTCCCTCTCACCTGTGCTTCCCCCATTCAAGAGCGTAAACAGAGGTACACAAACCCAAGGGCAGTGGGATGTGCTCACACACGTGTGTTCACACCCTCACACTCACCTGGGTTCTCAGGTGTCCTGCATGCTCATTCACACAGGGCCTTTCCCAAGCCCCGTTCTCATTCATGCTCACTCACTCCTCCCAAGTGCATACCTCATCAACAAAACCGCACTCAAGACTCATAATCACACACTCACTCTTACACGCTCCCCCTGCCCCCACGCGAACAGGCACAGACCCTCGTGGAAACACATTCAGATCTTTCACACCTGACACACTGCCCCCTCCGGTCCCAGCAAGCCCACTCCAAGGCACACCAACCGGCGCGGCTCCACCTCCTTGCACATCCCCCCACACCCCACCCGCCAGCACGTTCACTCGGCTGCCGCAGAGTCCTCCACCTCGGGGCGCCCCGCCCCCCCAACCCGTGCACACCTACGGGAAGTTGCCTAAAGTTGCAGCGTTCTCCTCCCCCTCCGCCCGCGGGGGACCTCTATCAGGTTATCAGGAAGTGAATGGGGAGTGCCAAGGAGGAGGAAGTTCTACCCTGCCGGTGCGATGACCTTTGACCCAGAGAGGAGGGTGGCCCAAGGCCCCTACGAGCGCCCCCACGTGGTCTTCAAAGCCCCTTCCCCGACAGGGAACCCTCCCCATCTTCCACCCCGGCCCGCCCCTGGGACTTAGCAAGCTCCAGGGCCGGACTGAACCCTGCCCTAGGACTGGATCCGAGGCCCAAGCCCGACCCTGGCTTAGGACCCGCAGCCGGAGCCAACGCCGGCCCCTGCTCCAGGCCGGCACACTAAGACCTGGACGGCAGATCCCGCCAGGACCCTGACCTCGTCTGATTCTCCACCGGGTC